TTTTTTGTTTTAGTATTTTGAAGTTGACCAATTGTTACTATAAGCAATTAATGATTATAGATGATCTGCACCGTAGGGTTTTGGTAAGAGTAGGTTTCGGGTAAGGTTTAGGATTTTAAAAACTCCCTAAACTAATTTAGAGTTTAGGGGTCACAACATTGATATATACGATTATGTAATGAATTATTTTTAAAAATGACAGGTCCCACCCAACTCATTTAATTAAAACGGCTCACACTTGAGGGTGGTCGATTTTATAAATTTGGCCCGAGGAATGCGTGGCTCGATTATTATAAAAGATTGTTGGGGCGAGGTTCTAATCATGATCCTGAAGCTTTCCGTGATTATTCCATATGTTTATTAGTAAAAAAAAATCAAAGTTACACTCGTGTTAATTAATAGCGGATTAGCCACCCAAATAGCCCTGCGTTAAAATTTATATATGAATTGAATGCAGACAACTTTTGATTGATTTTTGCTAGCCATAGATTATTAGCGTAAGAATTGATTTTATTTACAATATTAATATTAAAAAAATATCAAAACATCAAAATAAATAGTTTTATAAGTATGATTAATATAATCACGGAGTTGATGGTGGTGTAGTCGTAATTCTTTTAAAAAATTTCACAGTTGCCAACGTTGAAAAATCTGTGTTAATATAAGTTGAATCATTTTCGGTACGAGTTTTTTGCTCCTTGATTCTCTTTTTAGCAATATCCAAATCGTGATAGATTGCTTGTATTGCATTTTTTAAGCCATCTTCCTTTTGAATATTTATACCAACCAAAGATGCTTTTTTGATCATTTTATCATCTGTAGTAACTGCAACAAGATAATCCGATAATTTTTCAATCGTCAATTTCTTAAGATTAAATCCAATACCCATTTGTTCAACTCGCTCTCCCCAAAAAAACTGATCTCCAAAAAATGGTTTAATTATAGTGGGTTTACCAGCACGAAGTCCTGCTGCCGTTGTTCCTGCGCCTCCATGATGTACTACTGCATCAACTTGCGGAAACAACCAGTCATGTGGTACGGATTTCAGTGGATATATACAGGAAGGATATTCTTCTTTATTATCATCAGCCTTTGTTCTTTGTAAACGATCACTCCATCCTTTTGATAGTATTGCTGCAACGCCACTTCTCTTAATAGATTCTACAATGATTTTTGTCATCGCTTGTGGATCGTCTACAACAATTGATCCAAATCCGATATAAACTATTTTTTTCTTATCATCGTGATTCTTTTTTATGAAATCAATCAAATCCTGTGGCACTTTCCATCCAATTTCGGGGTTGTCCAAAAACCAATATCCTGTTACGTGTATCCAATCAGCCCAATCAGGTGCCTTAGGTACAATGCGATCACTGAAATTATACAAAAATGGAACTGTGTTTGCATCCATTTTCTCTAGGCTAGTGCTCCGTAACTTTAACGTATTCTTTCGCCATCGATTAATTTGTGGTGCACTTGCTAACCAAAATGCATTCTCAATAAGGACATACGACATGTAATTATACGGACCTTTTAAATCATAATTAGATACCGCAAATGCGTGGGGATATGCTTTAGTCCGTGTCCATGGCATTGTAAATGCCCGAAAATATGGAATGCCTGTAAAGTTTAATAAAATGTATGAATTATCTCTTATAAATAAATAGTAACAATAATAGGAATAGTAATAAATACCTAAAGCTTCGGCAATATGAATGCCAGACATTGCACTAGGGGACTCTATTAATACATCAGTATTCTAATAAATATTTTAGATAATACACATAATAGATGTATATTAAAGCATACATAATTAAACATTATAAGATTTATTTAATTTTTTACCTGACAAGCTAGCCAAGAAGTTTTCAACAACTCATCAAACCATTCACGAAACTAATGAATTTTTTTTAATGTAAAAACAAAAACAAATTAAATTGAATTGTAAAAGTCATCCTTTTTAACCAATTAATGTCAACTTACATTTGTAATTCCATCCTTGAAGAAACCAAAAGTAAACATTCCATTCTCAACACATATTCTCTAACAAAAAAAATATAGTGGTTATAAAATTAAATTATTTTTAAAAAAAATAATAACAGTAATAATAATTAATAATAATAATAATAATAATAATAATAACAATAAATAAATTACCATTAATTCTGCAGGATCGCCACCAACACATCCGAATTCAATACCATGGCTTTCAATCCAATCTTTATACTCTCCATGTGTAGCTATTCTAACTTTATGTCCCTCACAAATCAATCCTTTTGCAAGTGCAATATATGGCTAAAGCAATTCAATAATAAGAAAAAATTAATGATTTCATGACCAAATCAAATCTGAAAACCAATTATAAATAAACACATACTTGTACATCACCACGAGATCCAATAGTAAGTAAAGTAAAATGAAGAGGATGATCAGGTTTTAATTCAGAAATTGTTGATTTTGTTGTTTCAGCATCGCTTTCACCCAATGAATTACTTCTACCTTCTTTAATAATTGCTAGTCTTCTTTCTTCTATCAACTCGAAAAACCTATCTCTAAGTTTTTCAAAACCAAATTCAATTAAAATTTCTTTTTGTGATTTGGTCAAAATTTCTAATCCGTGATAACCTAATACATTTGCTTGTTGTTTTCTAGGCTTTCCATAAATATCCGATATTGGTAGCCATAACTAGATTAAAAAAAAGATAAAGAAAAAAAAAATATTATGATTTTAATTTTTTAAAAAATAAAAATAAAAAATAAAATAACGTGTACATTAGTTGATTTGCCAACGACTCTTGATCGAAAACATATATAATTATCTGATATATAAAACTTGCCATAAACTGGAATTATGCGTGAAAAATATCCATAGAAAACTAATATTATTTGTAACAAAATATATTATATGGATGTATAAATGTATGATAAATATTATATATTATTGGGAAAATATTCAGTTATTATTATAAAAAAAAATCCTAGGTATATTCCTTACTGGCGTGAAGTTTTTCTGATTCAGGTAAAGCAAAATGCTCTCTAAAATGACTGTTCGTTTTTTCCGAAGTATTTTCTTCAAAATAACTGATATATTCTTTAGGATTTGTAGTCATAATTTTTACACGACGCTGGAATTGCTTTGTAATGCTTAGACTCCCTTCTTTAGAATCTTGAGTTTGATTTTCAAAAGTTGATGATCTTGGTGACTTTATTGTTTGTTTTGTAATAGTTAATGAAGATTCGTCATCGTAACCTTTTCTTCTTTTATTAATACTAACGGATCTAAATATATTAGACATATATCTTGATGCTAAGCTAATAGAAGAATCAGAAGATTGAGAATCATTATTATCAATAGTCGAAGTTTCTGGTTTTCGTAAATCATTTAATTCTTCAATTAATGTGCCACTATCTGAGAAGAAAGCGAAAAAGAACTTTTGGATGTAAAGTCAAGTTTGAGCAATATTTAGTAAATTATCTTTAATAAACGTATAAAAGTGTGTGTTTTTAAACCCTAGAAAATTTTCAAATATTGAATAGATTTTAAAGTGTACCTCATCACAACCAGACTGGTCATCGCCATAAGTAACAATTTGTATAGTGTTAGGAAAATTTTTTGATAGATTGGGTCGAACATGTTTAATACTTTCGATTGGTATAACAATCTTGGAATGATAAGTTAAAAAAAAATAATAAAGGATGAAATAATAGAATAAAATATTAAAATAGAATTAACGAATGAAATAATAGCACAATTACCTTTACACTATCGCCTTCATTTTTAGCACGTAATATTGATTTTCCTAATTGAGTTATCCATTCCTCCATAGAAATTTGAGAATCGGCTTGAAATTTATATTTACGTTTAGGTGTCACTATCCGGAAAGAATTTTTTTTATGAAGATTTTCAACTTTGATTGCATATTTCAAATCTATGATTTCAACCGGACAATACAAATCCTAATCAAACATTAAAAAAATAGTAATTATGACAATATTTTCTCAATTATAGATACAAACAGAGGAGATTAATATAAAGAGTTATCATACCGTTGGATCATTGTAATACATAAAAACGTCATTTTGTAATAAACAATAATATCTAACATTAAGAGCCCCATGTGGTGCTAATTTAGTAAGATTTCCATCTTTTAACATTACATCCTAAAATTAAAGAATCATTTACTTTTTAGAATAGATTACCTTGACAAAAAAAAATGGTACATAAATAATTAAAACTGGCTTACAGGCTCTCGTGGCAGATAAGCATGAAAACAAATGTGAAATTCTGTTAGGAAAAGAAAACCTTGTAACATCGTTGATTTTATAAAATTACATCTAAAATCTATTTTAATAAATGAACAAAAGATTTCAGAAAAAATTTTTGTTTTGTTCAATAATAAATATTATTAATAAATAAACATACCTTCTTTAAACTTTTCAGGTTTATCTAACTCAAAAATTTCTTTCAATTTTTCTTCATTTGATTTTTCTTTTAATATCTTTTCTACTTGGGAATAATCTAGATCATGATTTTGAATTTTTTGTTCTTTATTTTGTAATAAAAAATCAAGATAAATTAAATCTAATGCTGATGGGGTATCTGGAGAGTTTCTAGCTGAAGAACTTCCACTTGAAGATTCCCCACTTGAAGAATCTGAATCTGAGGCTTTTTTAAGATCAAGTTTAAAAAAAACATAAATATATAAATATTTTTTATTTGATAAAAAATCAAATCTATTTAAAAAGTTAAATACCTTCATTTCGTTCTGAATTATTTGAACTTTTGTTTCTTTCTTCATAAAGCTTTAAATATATAAAATTATACAAAATATGAATAACTCTGAAATAATCAACTAAACCACTATAATTATTGAAGCATAGCATTATAGTAATCATGACAATTAAACAGTACTCACTCCATTCATTGTTGTAGCATTTAAAACATTAATCAAATTGTTGTTGAACATTTCTTATAATTGTGCCAATATTTATATAAAAATTTTTTGAACTAAACTAATTATTAAAAATGAAAATTTTTTTTATATTTTAAATGAAAAATCATTCAACGCGCTAATTTTTTATTATTATTATTATTATGACCAGAAAATTATACCGTAAACACTATTACTATTACAATGATTCGAAAGTAATTTTTTAAAAAAAGGTGAGATGAATTCGCAAATATAGGGACGCGAAAAATGTAACTATAATTCGCATTATCAAGGGTAGGGGTCATTCAGCCAAAATTATGCACTATAGATAAGTTTTTTCTCTATATAGTTACATCCTATATAGTCACAACATAGTATAGTCACGTTTTTTTGAAAAATTCCCTGCTACTAATTAATCATAGTAAAAACATGTCCTGTATAGTCACAAACATAGTCTTGAGATTTCACTATGGTCCCGAGGTGTGTGACTATATTAGGAGTCTGACTGTATATTAATATAGTAATAGTAATAGGTTTAAAATTTTACCAATTTTGGAAGATTTTCCTGATCTCTACACAAATATAGGTGAGAGACCTTTATCATATAGTTGAAAAAATTCAAGTTTTACGAATCTCACTATTTAACATATGTCCTTAGATTTTTAGAGTTAAAGTTTTTTATGATTTACTTCAATGTCAAGTTATTTGCAAACGTGGTCAAATTATTTCACAGTCACCCAATATACTCAATATTAATGAGTTCAAGAAGGCAAAATCGTGATCCAATGGGAAGGTAAAAGACAACATCTAATAATTTCCAAAGTTATTCTTTTGCTTAGTTTTATATGTAATATAATAACTTATTTACCTTGGTTTTATCAACGGATTTTTGTTGCTGACATTTTCCCGGATCATATTTTGTACAACTCTACCCCTGTCCGCATGCGCTGTTTTATAAAAATCTTTTGAACATGCCAGCTGGATTTTGGATAAATTTATCATACTCAAATATCACAACATTATTTTCATGTGAAAATTGGCAGGTGGAAATTACAATCATATCACACTACAAGTAGTTACGTTAATATTAACCCTATTTGAATTCGAAACTTTTTTAATTTATCATTTTAGTATGCCAAATTATCTTATCCCATAAACCGTATTCACATATTTATTAATAATATCATAAGTCGCAAATTTGTGACTTGATATAATTTTAATTAACATGATTGGTTGCGATCACATTCAACGGACACATAAGATTGAATTCATTCAAATTTGGTTCTATATTATTTATTCTTTTTACATTAGCTAGCTGTTAATTTTAAAAATTAGTTTGTTTAAATTTATTTATCATTCGTTTTTTTCATACTTTTGATTTAATAAAAATTTTTAAAATTTCTTGTTTTTTTTTTTAAAAAAAAATTGATTCATAAACCATCATATATTAAAAACAAATCAAAATGTTAATGTTAATTTAATGTTTTAATTAGTAATTCTTTAATTCTTCTACACACTTATTACATGTACATGTGAATCGCCACTTTACGTCCAATTCACTTATCCTACTACTAACATCTCTATTTTCTTGCCTAATATAACTGATTTTCAATTCCTCGCCTTCTTTAATATGTTTTTTTGCAACAATTGATACAGTGTTATCACCATTAGGGAATTTTGCCTCTACATTTGGATCACATGAATGTGCAATGTAGGATGAAAAACGGTAAAAACATGCACCAATAACAGGCGATTCACTCGAACGGACAGGTTCGGAATTATTCTAAATGTAAAAATAAATTAATTTATATATATATATTAATACACACACACATATATAAATATATATACAGTACCTCATTTATAATTTTTTTGGTGTGTACACCATATGCATTATACGTAAATTTGCCTTTAAGAACCATATATCTTTCTTCAGAAATAAATTCTTCCATTCCAGGCACTTTAGCAGCAAATAATTCTTTTAAAAGATTAATTTCTTTTTCTTCCTTTGAAGTAGCAGGCACATCTAAATACCTTAATCTTTCAATATGATCCCAAGTTGTATATTCTTCTTCAATTCCCGATGCGACTTTTTGAGTTTCTTCATATACCATTCTAGCCAAAAATCTAGCAATCATTAATGGATATTTTACATTTCCTAACTTAACCAATTCTGCTAATTTAGCTTCTTTACTATCACTTCCGGTTGAACCGGTACTTGTAAATAAGAGTGTGGCATATTCTGACATTGCTTTTTCCATACATAGTTTAGAACAATAAATTGCTTCAAAAAGATCATTACCATCAGTAAATTCTAGTCCAACAGAAATCGTCTTAAAACAATAACTACAAAAATCACCGGACTAGTTTTTTAATAAGAAAAATGAATATATGTATATTTATTGGTTAAAATATTCATATATCCGAATAATAACAGATTTTTTAATAATTATACCTCAAGATTTGGATCAAGTGCTGAAGCTAAAGGTAATTCAACGAAAATAGTTTCACCAGGTTGAAAATCTTTTGTAGCAAAAAGCCCTCGACGTGTTTGATCCTCAAGATCTGAAGATTTATTAACATCCTTAACCTTGACATTCATTTCTTTTGGTGGAAATTTTTCGAAATATTCAGATTGTTTTTTTTTGACCTAATCAAAATAATAAAAATTATATATAGTTCCAATAATAATTATATTAATTAAAGTTTAACAAATTTCAAATCAGTACCAAATTTTTTTAAAAAAATCACCTCGAGGCTCATCATTTCATATACCATGTTAAATATTGTTTCAGGTATGGTTTTCTGATAGATCATAATTAATTCAACAGGACTAGGATAAACTTTTAGTGCTTTGTAAAAACAAAGAGCGGCTTCATCATATCCATTTTCACCTAAAAGATATACATACTTACATTTATAGAAAAATCAAACACAACATTTACGTATAAGTATAAACGTGTACTTACCAGCTGCAAGCAAAGATTCTCCTTTAGCAACTTGTTCCATAAAATATTTTTCTTTTGCATTAACATCAGAAGGAAAACTTTCGGTTGAAACTTCATCGACAGCTTTTCTAACAAAATCAGCAGTCTTTAATTTAGCATCTACTTCTGCTGCTTTCTTGGCTTTCAACGCACGTTTTTTACTTCTTTCTTTAATTAATAAAAGAGTTGTTTGAATTATTTGTAATAATTATTATTGTTATCATTTTGATTTAATTAAAAAATTTTTTTAATCACTTACTGATCTTTCTTCTAAATTCAGGATCATTTTGTCTTTTATAGTCCCAATAAAAGGCATATCCTACACCAACAACACCTATAACACAAAGACCTATCAAAAGGGATTTTTTCGATTCCATGAAAAATTTTTTTTTGAATCAGTTTAATTATAAATCATGTGATTTTTACTAACTTGCTGCGACAATTAATTATTTGTCACCTTCCAATCACGAACATAGAATCAATGCTTCTCTTTTTATTCCATTTATGTCAAGATTTTCGGTAGATCTTGGCATAATATTGATATGGTGTAAAAATCTGAAGTCATCATAAACCATGAAAAAATTAAAAATCACCCTTTATGTTTATTCCATTTTTAAAAACAGTAAAGATGTGAGTGTCAAATTAGATAAAAATCGGGATCCAGATTGTTTGAAAGATATCATAATGAAAAATATATTAGAAGGCGATCAACCAATTAATGGGATGCCTTCAAAAATTATTAGATTGAGATTAAGAATTATTTCGATCTGCATTCAAAAATTTTCACATCGAGATTGAGATTGAGATCGAATTTTAATATGAAATTTCAATCTAGGTCCAGGTGTAAGATTGAAACAAACAATAAAATAAAAGAAAAAAAAATGGAAAAATATTGAAGTACTCAAAAAACAAAGACATCAATACTAAAATCATTAGCATTGGTGTTTTTAAGTTCAAGGTCCAATTCATTTCTTTGATGCAAAACAATTAATACTGTAATATATGGGGCATGCTGCAACAAAACCAGACAAAGTGAACATTGGTGTTACCAATGATTTCAGGGATCAAAATTTAGTCATTTGTAATGTGATTATAATTATCAGTTTTATAATATTTTTTATCAATTCTTTATTAAGGAAAAATTAATAATTACAAGAAAGAAATAATGAAAAAGTAAGAAAAAAAAAAGACAGCAAAGAGACAAAGAATCATTCAGCATCAAAGTTTTCATTAAACTCCTCATGAGAATCTATTTTTTTGGTTTTGTTGCTGTATGTCACTATTGATCCAATTATTGTTATTATATTAGAAACAATATTGTTGTTAAAAAAATTTTTTTAGCTGTTTTGTTTTATTATCATTCATTATTGGATATTTTAATTTCATTAGTTCATTGTATTTTCTACTGGAAGGCTAGAATCAAATAATATATATATTGTATATAATGTGATAAATACTTGCAATATAATTTATTTATAAAACTTAATAAATTTAAATGAAATTATGCATTTTTGAAAATTTTTTTCAAAAAAAAGAAAAAGGGGAGAATGATAAATATTTAAGAGTAATATAATAAACAGTAATATATAATAACAACACCTGAAATAAGCTAATTATAAAAAATAAATTCAATTCTTTACTTTTGTCTTAGTTTTCGAATTTTCATTCTGTACTGATAATTTTATTGGATCAAGAAATGATTGTTTAATTAATCGAAGTTTTTGTGATTTTGTATGTTGTGATTTTTGAATTGTGATTTGATATGCAACAGCCTCATTATTGACAAAATTCTAAAAGATGCATTATTAACAAATAGAACATTAAGATAATCAAGATAATTGCTATTATTTCTTCATGTTGAATTTGTTTGCTTGCCTTTAATGTACTTAGCACCTGAAAACATCTAATTAAAGTTCCCCATGTAGCAATACCTTCAGGAAATAGAATTTCACCAAGTAATATCATTCTATAAACTCCATCAAAACAAAGATCCATAATATAAATATGTCCTAAAAACCCTATGATAATTTAAAATATCAAAGGAGAAATTACTCACCCAAATAAAACTTCGTCCATATTAACCAAACACAACTTACCAATAACTTGAAGTCCACCGATAACAAGATCCTCCATTCCATCCTCAATTCCTTTGTCCAGACAATATTTCATTGTCTTACCAAGACATACGAAATCTTCATTCACTAAAGATACTTTTGTACCAGGTGGTTTGAATTCTCCAATTAGTAGTTCAATGTAATTGTTATAATTTATAGTATGAACAATAAAGTCAGGTCTGACTCCCATTAAAGTTGGGTCGAACTTTTTTTTCATTTGAGCCAAAGATATTGAAGTTGTGTTGGACCTACAGATACATAGAAAATTGAACATGACATGGCGTGGATCATCATAGTAAACACCAATCAATCAATACATACCACTTCATAGCTGTTCTCCTGTTATTAGCAAAGAACGGCTTAACAACAGGTTCGATAATATCGTGAATAAAGGTATCTTCATTGTAGTCATCACTAAAAGATGATGTATTATTTTCTGCCCTGTAGAACATGAAATAACCTTGTTAGCATACTTCTATTTGATAAAGAACATTATATCATAAAACCTTACAGGTTTCGAAGAATTTTAAACATTATTTCTTCAGAATCTGTGGCAGGTTTGATGTCGTGAAGGAATGTTTTGATTATATTTCGACATCGATGATGACTTGGTTCAGAATATGTTATCTAAAACATGATGAAGCATACATTAGATTGCATATAATTAATTGGAAAAGGTGTTAACAAATATTACATTACATTCATGACTTTGTTAACAAGGTCATGAACTGCTGTTGGTACTGGTTGGTGTGGGTATTTGCTTCGTATATTGTCAAATAATTGTTGCCATAATTCTTCTTTGAAGTATTGAGACAACCCTTGAAGATTTTCCTCTTGCAAGACAAATATATGACTTAAAGCACTACAAAAAAAAGTAAAGAAATTAATCACGCAGCAACATTCCAAAATTTATTTTCACAAAATGATACGAACAGTTCTTCTTCTGGTTTTAATGTGGTTGTCATTGGTGAACATTTGGTAAATGCTGCAGTTCTATATTTCCAAAAAATTTCTGTAATATCTGCGTCATTTACGAGCCACTATATGGAGAAAAGAGGAAGACAGTTCAAAAAAGAACATCTGGAGATCCAATACTATTACATTTTTGTAAAAAGTACTCACATGCTCTTTTAACTTCCATTCAACATCACCTGGTCCAACTAAGTAGTTTATAGATTTTTCTTTGGGTGATAAATTTGATAAATTATCATCAATAGAAGCAGCAATTGAATTTAACGATGTCAAGTCGCGCAAAATGTTTTTTTTGACTTTTCTGCTGGTTTGTTTATGTACAAGCAAAGTTAATTTTTATTTAACTAGAGTAACGACAACAGGTGGCAGGCGATAACCACCACCCATCCTTAAAACACTTACCTATAAATTTCTTCTGCTTCTTGGTGTTTGCTCTTCTTTTTAATTTCTTTACGTTTTTGTGGTGGCATAATTTTAAAGAAGTTTGTTATTTGATCGACACGTACAGCATAGTAGAAATTTGAAATGTTACACTAATTTTTTATATTGTGCAACGTAGCTTTACAATACACAGCAAACATTCTGGCAATAAAAAGTAAGTGATAAACTGGATTTGAATTGGATCTGAACTTGATCTCCAATTTAGAGAGGTAACAACTATATACCGGATAAGTTTCAGAAGCAATATAACGTTTCATGTAACAACAAACTTCCACTATGCTAATTTTTGCGTGATATCTGGAGGGGAGATCGTCACATAATTTAGCCAATGAAATCAAATGTCCACTATGCTAATAAGGACTAATGATGTACTGTGTAACCTAACCCTTAAATCATCTGACCATAATGATCATCAGACAATAGTGCTATATTGGTTTTAAAATCAATAATTAAATTAAATCATAAATTTTGAATCTTAACTATTTAAGATATATAATAATAATGACGATCCCCCGGGTATTTTTATTAATCATTGATCGGCAGACCACGAATTAAAATTTGATGTTACGCACTGAATGACTGTTACTAATACTAATACTAATAAAATTTTCGATAAAAATGCATGCTTATTATCATGATGACAACGATGATTCAGACCCAAAAAAACCTCATGAAAAAAATCCACTTACCATTGTTACCCCTGAAGAACTTGCACATATTGGTATTTCACACTCACATATAGAAGAAGAGGATTTTCTTAATAAAATTAAAAAAATATCTGAGGAAAGACGTTATAAAAGTCATGATGAAGTAATAATTTGAATTTTTTTGGGGAGAACAATTTTATTATTATTATATATTTATATATAAGTATGTATAAATAGATTACATTCTCGAAAGAAGCAATGGGTGATTTGTATGATAGTAAATTGAAAATTTTTTATGAAGAGTAAGTAAATGAAATAGTTAATAATTTTCTTTACTTTGTATTATTTTATAAATAAATACTAATTATGATTATTATGTTTTTGTTAAATTAGACATTTTCATGAAGGTGAAGAAATTCGTTATATTCTTGATGGTTCTGGATATATTGATGTTCGAGGTATGTATGTATCTTTGAAATGTGGAAGTATCTTTTTTTACATAATTACGAATATTTGCGTTTACTTGAATTTGATTTAGATTTGCAAGACAAATGGATTCGTATTGCACTCACTAAAGGAGATTTGATTGTTTTTGTAATTAATAAATTATCAATAAATTATCTAATAATATATATATGATTAATAAATTATTGATAATTCATTCATTTTTATATGAAGCCTCCAGGAATTTATCATCGTTTCACACCTGACACCAATAATTACATGAAGGCTATGCGTAAGTATTTTATTATTATTTTCATTCATTATGATTATTATTAAAATAATATTTACCAATGTTTATTTAATATTAATAATATGTTTATAGGTTTATTTAAAGAGGTAATATTTTCATTAATATTACAATGATTAAAAAAAATATATAATCAAATAATTTAACAACAAATTTATAATCTAATATTAATATTACAAGGAACCAATACGGGTAGCAATTAATCGTAAGTTATTTCATTCATTTTCACAAAAAAAATCATTAATTCATATTTACTTTGTGTGTGTATATATATATATATATTGGTACTTATAGGTCCAGCTGATGATAATAGTTTTCATAAAAATTATTTAAAATCACTTCAAGGCGTTGGATTGTATAAATAAATAAATGAATGAATGAAAGGGCTTGTTTATTATTTTTTTAAAAAAGTTACTGATAAATTATAAACTTATTTTTATGCATAATGTTTATGTGAATGTGCGTGATTTTATCATCTAAGCAAACATGAACCTCTGCATAATTTAAAAGAAAATCTTTTGCTGCAGTCATATGAATTCTTTATCATTTTTGAATGATTTCTGAAATAAGCCTGACTTTACTGAAAAGTTAGTTGATAGAATTACATTGCTAACTTATTAAGATAAATTTTTTCAAGTTTTTGCCAAGTACTACTATTTATTACAAGTCTTATTAGGTAATGTGTCATTATCATTATCATAATCACAACCATAATTATTATTTATTATATTTATTAATCATCTAAGTTGAGTCCAAATTTCTTGTACATTTCTTTTGTTGTTGTTCCTTCTAATTCTGCACACTTTACAAATGATTATTGTTTATTATAAAATAATTACAATAATTGATTATTTATAATGAATATAAAAAATTGACATACTTTTCCAAATAACATTTGACCAATATCTTTAATTTCATTATAGTTGTGTAGTTGATGATAATGATCTTTTAATGACTTTTCAATATCAAAGTTTCCACTATATATATATTAAATAGATCTTACATTAAAAATTATTAATATTAATAATTAAAATATAGATATATATATATATGAAATATCTTAACAGTAAATTTTCTTTTAATTTGACTTCTTCAGATTTCAATGATTCAAGCTGTTCTTGAAGTGATTGAATCTTGGTGTTAATTGCCTCCTATGATAATAATATTAACAATAATAAATGATTATTATATGGAGAAGAGAGAAGATAGTTGAAAAATGATTAAAATTTAAATTGAATCAACACTTTTTGAATGATAATCTTTGGATCGTTGATTTCTTCTGTTGATGATTCTTGAGAAATCTTTCTCTATAACACAATTTAATTATTAATTAATTAATTAGTAGAAATTTTAAAATTCTTATTAATTAATTAATTAGTAGAAATTTTAAAATTCTTATTAATTATTTTTACCTTTAAATTATAATCACTGTTTTTATCAATATATAAAGTTAAAGTATCATCTTCATCTTTAATTTGTAACTTTTTCTCTGATCTAATTGACAAATGTATTATATTAAAGTTAATTTTTTAATACTTAGACTGAAAAATAATATTCACCTACAAGATATTTTCATTGACAAGTTCTTGAATAAGATTATGAAGATTATCAATTTGATTAAATTTTTGTTTTAATTCAAATAAAGAAATAGGGTGATGAGAATGCTGCTGTTGATTAAAATAATTTTTAATTTCTTTTTTTGGGTTTTCCATTTTTAGGAAATTTTTTAATAAAATCTTTTTTGGTTATGGAATGTGCGCATGTATATCATGTCACCATTTACACGTTGTTACAAAAACTTGCTGAAACAAAAGTGGTAATGATCGTCGGAAAAAAAGTAATAATAATAAATAAATGATAACGTTTATTCAAATTGTATTAATAAATTGTACAAATAAAATAAAATATAATTAGAAAATATATAATAATTATTTATTATTTATTGAAATATGCTGTAATACTACTTGTTTTTGTTTTTGAATATTTAAATAATGTTATTTTTCTTTTTAATGATTTAAAAGATTTAGATTCAATATAGTCTATTTCTTTATCACCTTGTTGTAGAAAATTGTAGTCTCAAGGACATTTACAGCATATTTTATTGAAACATTAGGTACTGCATTACTTTTAATGACAACTTCCTCTTCAATTGGCTTGAAAAAAGCAATAATTTTTCGTCAGTTATCATTTCACTACTATTACTTATTCCTTCATTATCAATTGTAATATATTTTTATGCTTCTAATGGAGAGGTAAATGATAATTCATTGATTAAATTTTCAATAACAACTCTTTCTTGATTTGATAGCTCTTCAATTAAATAAATAATATAACATTGCAAATTTTTTTAAAAAAAATTACACATCATGACCATTTTACATCTTTCTAAATGTGAAATTTTTCTATTTAAAAATGCATCAACAAGTTTCCCTGCAATAAATAAAATAATTAATAATTAATAATTAATAATAAATAAAATCAATAATATAATTATCCAATGCATTCATTGACCAAATACATATTAGTATAAATAAATAAAAAGTCCTTTATTATATCCCTATAAAAAATTATTGACTGAAAATGTACGGGAAAACAGTAGATGAACCGTATTGTTTTACGGAATAGGTACGGAATCTTCCTGTTAAATGTGCCGAAATGTACGGAATTTGTGTGGGATAGATACGGAGTAGGTGTGGAGTGCATACGAAACACGCACGGAATACATACGGTTTTTACGGAAAACATATGGAATTCGTTTTTCTCGTACGTTTCCCGTATGAATTACGTGATGTGCCAATGTGAAATTCGTGCGGAAAACGTACGAGAAAAACGAATTCCGTATGTTTTCCGTAAAAACCGTGTATATTCCGTGCGTGTTTCGTATGCATTCCGCACCTACTTCGTATCTATCCTGCACAAATTCCGTAAATTTCGGCGCATTTAACAGAAAGATTCTGTACTAGTACATTTTTCCGTACCGATTCCGTAAAACAATAGGTTCATCTACTGTTTTCCCGTATGTTATTTTTTATAGGGTGACATAAATAAAGTAAAATAATTAATTACCATATAACTCGACAGAAAATTCTAGTCTTGAAGAAATAGATGTTTGCATTATACACTTTTGTGCCTTAAATTCTGGTGCAGCACCATCAGCACCAATTGATAAAATATGAATATTAAAACTTGGCTACTAAATTTAGAACACAGTGGTGTAATTCTACCATTTCATCTGATTTTTCATAATTATTTGAATTATATCTAAAATAAAAGGAGAAACTTTGGAAGAGGGACTTGTAATATATAAACCCTTACATTTTTTGCTATTGAATTTGTTATCTTAATCTTTGTTGACAATGTCATCAATATCTTCAAATGATGAAACTTTAATTTCAGACAATGGTAAAATAGAGCTCAAAATACATTCCAGCTTTGGATGATAATGTAATTTTGAAATTAATTTAATGCTTTCAGTGGATGCTAGAATTGGTCCATCATATTTTATTTGGTTCAAAAAATCTTTAAATTTTGTCATATTTTCTTCACATCTTAATGGATTGTGTAATTCAATCTATAAAGTTCCCAAATGTCAAAACTTATAACTTATTTAATAATGTAAGCTTGTTGTTATACAAAGATCATTATACAATTTAATATGAAAATATTGTTCTGAAGGTGATTTAATGATACCTTATATTTCTAATAGACCTTCCTATTAAATTTTGTTTGAAAATTCAATATGCTTGTGGATAACTACTAGCTAAAATAATTACAAAATCTGAAAATTGCTCCGGATACCTTATATTTTATCACCTGGAAGTAGAATTTTCGTCTTGTATAAATAAATTGACTCATAATTTCATAATATCAGCACTTTTGCAAAATTTAGAAATGATGAATTTTTTATACAATATTTTTGGTGTTATTTTCATCTGGGATCTAATTTAATTTTTTACCACATTTACATATAACATGAAATTCATCAACAACCTCTCTAACAGATGGATGTTGAAGAAGCTTTTTTTTTATCCCATTTATACCATCCCAGTTATAAATGTTTAAAAAAATATCCAAAAATTTCACACCACTTATTTTACAATACTCGTTTTTACATAACAGTTATTTTAGCTCTACCCTGTTTTACATACCAGTTTCTCAAAAAAAATGCTAATTTATACCCATTTTTGTTAATACCAGTTCAATTATAATTGTTTGAGGTCACAGCGAACAATTTTAATATAACAAATACAAACAGGCGAAGGTAGCTAGCTATATTGACTAATTTTTAAACAATATCCTGTAAATTATTATTATATTAATATTAATATTAATATGAAAATTCAGTTGTTGGGTTTGTCAGGTGTAGAATTGTTATTATTATCCAACTTCTGGAGGATAGTTTCTAAATTTGTTGAACAATTACAACAAATGTTATTGGCCTTTGTAGAATAATTGGGTAGAAGGTTTTCATTATTTGCTAATTAATATTAATTAAAATTTTAGGAACACCCATCTTTTGGCAAATGATTTAGGAATCATCAGATTTACCAGATTGACGAACAAATCCACACAATGCATATGTTTTCCATACATTGGTGTATTGCCCATTTCATCGTCAACTTCTCCAACAAATGCATGATCCTTGGCAGTAGTTGGTAAAGACTAGTGCCGTAATCCAAAAAAGGAAAAAGTATGGTTGCGAAGGTAATTGCAACCACTTTTTATATGCCGTAAATACAATTACTACCATCATCATAATTTACGGCACTAGTTTTTAGTAGTTGGATGATTCATTGTATTTATAATAAGTAATGCAATCATATAATAAAAACTTTACAATATAGTAATAATAGTTATTATTATTAAAGTTATTTATTGACTATTTGTGAGGTTGATAAAGTTCAATTTCAGATTTATGTTTTGCATTTTTAAAAAAGAATTTTTTTTGTATGATAAAACTTCAAAAGAAATTTTTAAAGTGTTTATGTGTGTGGCATACACATACTGTATATCTTTATCAAAAGTAATACAATTTAGATTCATCTTTACATTATATTTTTAATGGAAATGATAATGTTCAGTTTCAATGTCAGTTTTAAGCTCGAGTTTTGAGCCTCTTGAGCCTGATTATTCAAATTAAATCTTTATTTTTTTTCAGATTCTATAGACAATTGTTATTATAATTATTAAAATAAAAAGCTTTTAAAATTGATTAATCCTTCATTAAAAAAATTAAGTTAGAGAAGCTAATTAAAAGTCATAATTCCTAAATCCCAAATCCCAAATGACTTGTGATGATTCATAAACAATTTGTATGTTATTATTTAATGGAAAAATAAATAATCTAATTATTCTTTTATAAAAACTTTTTAATAAATTCAGATTCATTAATTACTTTGCCAAATTTATCAGAATTTAAATTTTCAGTCATGGAAATAAATAAATCAAGATTCATTGTAAATTCTACAAATATAAATTACTAAATATTAACTAATTGATTTGAAATATGGATGAATGATTTTATTTACCTTGATTTGATATTGGAGGATAATTTGGAGGTGGTGAATTCCACATTCCATCTTTATCAATCTAACCAATCAGTTGTAATTTCCAATAAATAATAATGATAATAATAATTACATTTCAATAATATACATGAATATTTACCATATGAGATCTATCTGATGCAAATACTTTAACAAATGTTTCTCCGGGAATTAATCTAAATTTCCTAAATTCAAAGCTAAATTAATTAAATCAACACTAAATCATCATTAAATCCATTTACTATTATTATTATACCTTGGATATTTTGACATCTTAAATTCTCCAATTATTGCTTCATTCACATATGTATTGAAATCGCATGGAAATGATTCAGTTGTATCAAAATCATAAATCCATGTTCTAATTATAAATAAAAAATAAAACAGCACATATTATAGATTATTTATAACATTAACCTATTTTGTTTTCTTTTTCAAAAAAATTTACTTTTGTTTCTCTTTTAATATTAATATTACATGATAATCCTATATTTTTTGAAACAATAGTTAATTGTGATAATAGACAATATATTTAATCATTAATTTGGATAAAATTTCTGTTTGCTAACTAATCATTATATTTACCCATAAAACCAATCCATTTTCTAATTCAGATGAGCTTTGTCTAAATAATGGCACCTATTATTTATTTATTAATAATATAAAAATACATTGTATTACCATTATTATATGAAAAAATTATTTATTATTCTGATTTGTGTAAAATTTATATGCTTACAACTTTATCTTCATTAGAAATAAAACACACATAAATTCCTTCCTTATAATCTTCATTTTTTTCATCCAGAAGAAATTCTTTACACAAATGATAAATATTTTCTTCACAGTAACATTTTGTATAAATTAAATCTTTCTTTTTATTATCCAGTAATACTATCATAGTGTTTTATTAATTTAATCAATAATCAATAATAAATAAAATAAGATGGAATATGGGGCATGCTGCAACAAAACCAAAGTGAACATTGGTATTACCAAGAATTTCAGGGATCAATAATGTTGTTTAAAATCACAATTGTATTACCAATGCAATGTGATCAATGATATTTATCTAGACAAAAATAGTTAATATGAAACTAATTTACATCAGATCTACTATGGAACCCAAAAATTACAGCACCATTAGAAGTAATTAAAAAAGGAACAAGGTGAAAAAATTGCACCTTATATTTTTAAATTAGCAGATACTAAATCCTTGCAAACATATTTAGATAA